GCTTTTGAATCGACATCAAACATTGTCTTAAATATTTACCTATGACGTTAAATATTCATTGTTTCTTTTTGATATGCAAGATTAACATAACCTAGTTTAATACCGGTAACTTTATTTTACTGTACATGAATCGATTGCTCTATTGATCAACCACATGAAAATAGCAACAGTACAAAGTGCTTGAACATTCGTATTTATTGGTTTCAGTTAGTTTATCCACTTGAGTTTCACGATGGGAGGTCAGTTTATCGATTCAAACTCAAGATCCTGAAGACTATCAAGCCAGACAAGACCAGAAACTACGAACTGTTTGACCAACCTCTTGGAGACACCAACAGTGGAAGCAAGCTACAGTCGTATTTGTTGGGCAGGGGTAATTCATCCCCTAGGTTTTAGTTGGGTAGGTGCTTTATTTATTTTGAAAATTTTCGAAATTATATTTTTTTTTACCTAAAATTTTTTTTTTTGAAAAAATTTTCCTTATGTTTTATATATAATATTGAAGCCCATGATTTTCCAAACAAAATGGTATATAGAACATTAGAATTAACATTGTTTTAAGCTTCTCAGATCCGTTTTAATAAAACCTTGCAAATGCGCCAAAAATAGGTGGACATTAAGGCCTAAACTATGGACACTTGGAGGGTTAATCCCAACCCTAGAACATGAGATCTTAAACATTATCAAGTTGTATACCAGAAACTACGAACTGTTTGACAACCTCTTGGAAACACCTTTAGAGGAAGCCATCAACATATTTTGGGTAGAGTTAATTTATCTATTTTTAATTTGGGAATTTTAATCTAATGTTCCGTGGGTATCCACGTCATCGCCGATGTATTATTGACTGCGGCGTGTTGACGGGCCAGTCATGGGTCAGCAGTTCAGGCCTTCGCCCCACACCTGCGTCCTTTACAAGGTCACGTGACAGCTGGTCAAATAACAACAGGCACCACGGTCCTGGAGTGTGGAGAAACTGAGACACGTTCATCAGGACTACGATACGAAGAGGACGAATAAAAGCTGCTCATAAGTATGCCATCAACTAAAAAAATCATCATCACGAGTAAAATCAGCATACCTTATGTATAAAAACACAAAATAGGCTACCTTAAGATGTTTGATTTGCTTACATTTATTAGCTTGAGGAAATTATTTCTACAATGTTGTCAATTCATAACAATTAAGAGGGTATACCATCACAAAAATAAATTATATCCTTCTCTTTGGAATTTAAATACTTCACCAATCCTATAGGCACAGACAGTTTATTCCATTGTCTGTGCTATAGGTATCAAACATCTTAAGGTAGCCTATTTTGTTTTTTTTTATACATAAGGTAGGCCTATGCTGATTTTACTCTATTTTCAAATGTATTGCTGGTGAAATAATCATATTTATAGGACATTATGAGCTTTTTGTGTGAATGTTTCCATACTTCCAATCCACATTTCATAGCTTCTTTTGTGATGGTTTATTTAGTATTTGCGAGATCGTAAGGTGAATAACAAGGTTCATATCAATGGTTTTGTTTGAGCTTCCATGTTTCCAATCCGAAGCCTCTTTCGCCAAAATTCCGACCCCAATACCGTTGATCCACGTCATTCCGGGATACCAAATCACATAGCAAAATAGCCAATTTCTTTACACCGAAACGCAATGAAGCTCGGAACGACGGGAACATTTCTGAGAATCCAAGCCCAAATCAAATCTCATTTCCTCTCCATCTGTCCTTCTCGCTCTCACTTCTCCAAACATGAATGAGTGGTTGGTAGTCAGAAAGATTCTCTTCTGGGATTTCAATCGGATAAATTTTCCATTACGAATGAGGAAATGTTCCCAGAAGGCGGCAATCAGGTTTGTTAGGGTCTGATGGACTCGACTCAGTGGATTTGGTCCTTTGCGCGGTTTGGCGAAAGAACCTAGAAGTCACGGATTTCAGAACGGAAACGGCATGGATGATAAACTAACAAATGACGTCACTGGTCAGAATGCCTTTACAATAGCTGTAACAGCTGGTTCGACAGAACGGAAACGGCATGGATGATAAACTAACAAATGACGTCACTGGTCAGAATGCCTTTACAATAGCTGTAACAGCTGGTTCGACAGAACGGAAACGGCATGGATGATAAACTAACAAATGACGTCACTGGTCAGAATGCCTTTACAATAGCTGTAACAGCTGGTTCGACAGAACGGAAACGGCATGGATGATAAACTAACAAATGACGTCACTGGTCAGAATGCCTTTACAATAGCTGTAACAGCTGGTTCGACAGTTCTATTGAAATAATAACAAAATCATGTTTATTTTCGGGCCAATGACATCATTTTGTTTATCATATCGCTTCTGTTATAATATTCGTGAAAGAAGTGTTACACAAACAGAAAAAGTTTAAAAAGCATAAGCAATCACGATGTGAACGTAATTTAACTATCCTTTAATAAGTCAAGTCTGCTCCAGTTAGGAATAATTTTTACTGGCTTTACGGCTGGCTTGTTCAAAATTGGCGACTCATGTGAAAATTCTCGTAGAACAGTGGTAGAAGAGCGCTCAACTAGATGCTGTTGAGATCCTTACCAAAATTGTACATCCTTATCCAGGAATGTTCCATAGTAATACTATCCCAGAAATAAGACATGACACATAAGGACAGTCTTCATTTGGAACACGTGTCTCCGATATTTACTTCTGCACAACTTTTTTCAAGATTGCATGATTTGTATTTTTTTTATGCATTGACAATAAGAAGTAATAAAACGATTAAGATGGAAAACGCTAATAGCTGCAGCCGTGGCGGACTGATAAGGTGACCATTGATAAGTTAATTGTTGAACCCACTTCCGGTGGCGGGCGGAAGTTGTGTCACGGCCTACACGATTAGCCGCCTCTCACTTATATACTTACCCGCATCATTCCACTAGCGGTGATTAAGTTTAAAAAGTGACACTTTTACAAGTCAATAAAAATGTCGTGGAAAGAATGTAGATTTTTAACAAGAAGTTGTCAATTCACGAATAAGTTGTCAATTACGTCATTTTGATTAATCATTAATATATATGCGGATGAATGATTTTTTGAATTGAAGGTTTGTTTCCCGAAATTCACATTATTCTGATTCCTTTATTTAAACTATCTTTTGTACTACAACTGTAATAGTTTAGAACGGCCGAATCAACTACATAAAACCTGAAGAAGGGCTTTCGATTTTATTAAAAATTGTCAGGAAAGCTCCATTATGTAAAAATATAGCATACTCTTACACTACATATAAAACCTAGTTTCGTACTGTATGTGCAAAAAGCAAAATCAATCTCCAAAATGAAACAGTGTAATCTGAATTGTTTATAAACCACCATATGTAAAAAGCCATATATCACATATTACAGTATTTATTTATAACGTAGTAAAACATTTTTGATTTCCTTCATTAATGTATGAATGTTTCATCCTAGGATGCTAGGCTCTACAGTCACGAACCCCCCCCCCACTTCTATAGGGTTGCGGCATTAAAACTTAGATCAAATCCATTAGCGATTGGCGGGATTTGGACCCGATACCTCAGGTACCGAAGCCCCGAGCTCACCAGACTAGCTCGCACCCCGAAGAGGCAGAAGGTACAACACGGCATTAACATGGGTTCAAGTTGAATTTATCAGAAGTGAAAGTCAAAATAAAACAAAACTACTTGAAACCTAGCAAGGGCAAAATGTAGGACCGGATATAGCCGGACTTCGGTCCAGTGGCGATATCTAGTGTAGGTTGTTGTGTACATAGCTGAGATAATATGTACTTAACCTGGGTCAACTTCGATAGCGGGAACAACTGACTAGCACCGGAAGCAGCCTACGAACCGCTCAGAGCAAATACCACAACGCAAACAACGCAGAACGTTTTAGTATCTGGAGAGGAAATCAATCAAAAACACAGTTCTCTTCCGACTCTCATGTTGTAGCGATGGGGTTGCGGAGACGCCAACGTAGAGGCGATGGCGATAGGCTATTTATTTTCCATCCGGCTCGAAGGACCAAAAAAACCAAGAACAGTTTTAATATCTGAGTGAAAATTTAGATCACAATACATTTTCGATTTGCTTGCCAATGTGATTAGGATATGATGATGTCAACGTTGGTAGGCTGTACATTCTCAATCAGGCTCGAAGGACCAAAGCAAACAGCGAAGAACAGTTTTAATATCTGAGATAAAATTTATCACGTATTCTCAAACTTCATGATGGTATAATGGGGGAAATAACCATGGCAACGTTTACAGTAAATATTTTCTATTCCGAATCGAAGGACATAAAAACGCGAGATGTTAACATATTGAACGTTTTTCTAATGAATATGAAACAAAAACTTTTATATGACGTTATAAAGGACCTGTTATAGATACTAAGGAGGACTGGTTTATTATATCGTTTATTTATTTTATTTAGCTCCTTAATTATTAAATACTTACTTAGGTCTACTCACTGGTAAGTGTAAATTCAAATCAGGAGCTCAACATTGACCTACAGTTAATTAGCCGTAAAGTTATGTGTAAATAAAGTCACTCCCTAATCCAATCATTAAGTTAACTTATTTCAGTCTGCAAAATTATGTTGCTTGTGAGCTTTGCAATCTTCAGGGGTGTATTTCACCCTCAAATATTACAACAGTTTATTTTATAGTGACCTAAGCAAAAACCTGTAAGCAACCTCAGTTTTTTCATCAGGGGTTTTCACCCTCAAATATTTGTAACAGTTTATTTTCTAGTGACTTAAGCAATAACCTGTAAGCAACCTCAGTTTTTTTCGGTGGAATAAATTATATGGAGATTGGAGAATTACGCTATAGAGGGTTACAATTTTCTTAATCAATAAAAAAATAACAAAAAAAAACATATTTTCCAATAAAATATAATCTCCTTAATATTTCTTCTATAACTCTTAGTCCAATATCTGTTCCATATACAACTCTTCGTCCGATATTTCTTCTGTATACACCTCTTCCATTTACCACTCCTCGTCCGACATTTCTTCTTTACACAACTCTTCGTCCAATATTTCTTCTGTATACATCTCTTCCATATACCACTCCTCGTCCGATATTTCTTCTTTACACAACTCTTCGTCCAATATTTCTTCTGAATACACCTCTTCCATATACCACTCCTTGTCCAATATTTCTTCTGTATACACCTCTTCCATATACCACTCCTCGTCCGACATTTCTTCTTTACACAACTCTTCGTCCAATATTTCTTCTGTATAAGTTACATCTCTAATCTCTTCCATATACCACTCCTCGTCCGATATTTCTTCTTTACACAACTCTTCGTCCAATATTTCTTCTGTATACACCTCTTCCATATACCACTCTTTGTTCAATATTTCTTCTGTATACACCTCTTCCATATACCACTCCTCGTCCGTCATTTCTTCTTTACACAACTCTTCGTCCAATATTTCTTCTGTATACATCTCTTCCATATACCACTCCTCGTCCGACATTTCTTCTTTACACAACTCTTCGTCCAATATTTCTTCTGTATACATCTCTTCCATATACCACTCCTCGTCCGATATTTCTTCTTTACACAACTCTTCGTCCAATATTTCTTCTGTATACACCTCTTCCATCTACCACTCCTCGTCCGACATTTCTTCTTTACACAACCTTTCGTCCAACATTTCTTCCGTATAAATCTATTCCATATACCACTCCTCGTCCAACATTTCTTCTTTACACAACTCTTCGTCCAATATTTCTTCTGTATACATCTCTTCCATATACCACTCTTCGTCCAATATTTCTTCTGTATACACCTCTTCCATATACCACTCTTTGTTTAATATTTCTTCTGTATACATCTCTTCCATATACCACTCCTCGTCCGATATTTCTTCTTTACACAACTCTTCGTCCAATATTTCTTCTGTATTCACCTCTTCCATATACCACTCTTTGTCCAATATTTCTTCTGAATACACCTCTTCCATATACCACTCCTCGTCCGACATTTTTTCTTTACACAACTCTTCGTCTAATATTTCTTCTGTATACATCTCTTCCATATACCACTCCTCGTCCGATATTTCTTCTTTACACAACTCTTCGTCCAACATGTCTTCTGTTTACACCTCTCCCATATACCACTCCTTGTCCGATATTTCTTCTTTACACAACTCTTCGTCCAATATTTCAACAAATTTTCGTCCGATATTCCTGCTTATACATTTTTTCTGTGGCGGTCCCAGGGGTGGGGGTTGGAAGGGATATATCTGCCCCGAAATATTTTATATTTTTTTAGCTAACATAAATACTAATAGCCTATTTTACAGCTCAAATACTTATAAAAATACGTTTTTAGGTTTTAAATTCCATGTTTTCCATACCCACTTTTCGTACGATATTCCTACTTTTACATTTCTTCGTCCAATATTTCTTATACATGTGTGGACGACAGACGAGGGTGCGGCCAGAGGAGGCAGTGGAAGCAATAACGAGAACTAGGCGCTAGGGGACACCAACGCTCTTACCTACGCATATCGTTGAATTGGTCAAACATAGTGCTTATATTATAAAGCCAAGAATTAAAAAAAATATACCCTATAAAATGTGAATTACTCATATAGTGAGCTGACGTAAATTACTGATTTAAGTATAATACACATAAACAAATGTAATAAATGCAATCTGCAGCATCTATAGCACAGGTACATACTTCAACTATCACAGTAACCAAAACTACTGTAATAGTGAAAGTGGAAGAATTTATTACATCCACTGTAACACACACTCTACCAGTTGCTCGTCCATATTTTTTTGTTTAAAGATAGACAAGTTACATCAGAATTAGTCAAAAGACGATGGTTATACCGTTGTACCTAACCTGGAACAGTAGAATTTAACAAACTTGATTAATGATATGTTTCACTTGTGGCAAATACAGTACTCAATGTGAATAGTTCTAGGGAGTTTAACATATACAACAGGTCATAGCCACAGATGTATTTATAAACTTACTAGCTGACCCGGCGAACTTCGTATCGCCTAAGTTATAGGTTTCCCCTAAGACAGACCGATGGAAAGAAAGTACCGTTGCGTTTAATTTTCAAGATGATCTCGTTCGCATCGCTCAATCACGTCCTGGTTGAAGTTCGTTCGCTACGCTCACTCACCTTTGGGTTGGAGCTCGTTCGCTACGCTCACTCACCTTTAGGTTGGAGCTCGTTCGCTGCGCTCACTTGCCTTCAGGTTAGCTCGTTCGCTACGCTAACTCGCCTCCAGGTTGAAGTTCGTTCGCTACGCTCACTCACCTTTTGGTTGCAAATTAGCTGTTGTCATAAATGTAAAAGAAATAATAGTGCTGCACCCTGTTGGTAATCCTTGTAACTTTAATGCTATTGAACATCATAGAACAGAACCAACTTGTTTAATTGAAACAGCTGTTAAGATTCATTAACTCCATTTCTCATAAGGTTAACATGGGAAACTCCAGAGCCACTGGGGCGGAGCCCTTTTAAGAATTTCGAAACGGGAAATAGTTTACGTCCGATTCGCATACCTACAGAATTTACACACCAAATTTCATAACGATCGGTGAAGTCGTTCCGGAGGAGTTTGCAGACAAACACTGTGACACGAGAATTTTATATATTAGATTAATTTATATTGCCCTATAATGTAACGCATGATAATAACCCTATAGTAGACGTCGCAAACAAGAAATTTATCTGTTTTTAAGTGTTTGGATGTTTGAAGCCCACCACTGAAGCAGGTCTGCAGTTTCGGTTTGAACGTTGGTTTTCGCAATTCGATACATCGGCTGGCCGGATGGATTTCATCAGGAAATCCCTGATCTCGGCCACTATATCCCGCACCCTTGAGTTAATGTTGCCTGTCTCTCAGGGTGTTTTATGAAGTAGGGTGGCTGTAAATTAAACAAGATTGAGGTTAGGTTCTGTCTTGAGGTGAAGTTAAACACTAGTAGAATGTCTTTTGGAAGTACAGTAGAAGGAAAGTTAGAAAAATACAATTTTGAATTTTCCATGACAAGCTATATTGGCAGTGAGGGAGGTTATATTATTTTCAAACAAATCAAATCCATCAACGTTTAATCAGGTTAATATATCAACTGGGCCTTGAGTTACTCTATATTTGCTTTGAGAATTTGAGATGTAATTGACTGGTAACTGCAAAAGAGTATGTTTAATCTATGATTATATTTAATGTCTGTGACATTAATTGTGATGTAGGCCTACTGCATCATCTTTACAATTAATTTAGACTTGGTGATTGTTCATATTAGAACAGCAAGTTGTAGTTTGAAGCCCACCACTGAAGCAGGTCTGCAGTTTCGGTTTGAACGTTGGTTTTCGCAATTCGATACATCGGCTGGCCGGATGGATTTCATCAGGAAATCCCTGATCTCGGCCACTATATCCCGCACCCTTGAGTTAATGTTGCCTGTCTCTCAGGGTGTTTTATGAAGTAGGGTGGCTGTAAATTAAACAAGATTGAGGTTAGGTTCTGTCTTGAGGTGAAGTTAAACACTAGTAGAATGTCTTTTGGAAGTACAGTAGAAGGAAAGTTAGAAAAATACAATTTTGAATTTTCCATGACAAGCTATATTGGCAGTGAGGGAGGTTATATTATTTTCAAACAAATCAAATCCATCAACGTTTAATCAGGTTAATATATCAACTGGGCCTTGAGTTACTCTATATTTGCTTTGAGAATTTGAGATGTAATTGACTGGTAACTGCAAAAGAGTATGTTTAATCTATGATTATATTTAATGTCTGTGACATTAATTGTGATGTAGGCCTACTGCATCATCTTTACAATTAATTTAGACTTGGTGATTGTTCATATTAGAACAGCAAGTTGTAGAAATATTGAGCAAAGACCAGAAGTAAAGAATGATGGATGAAGTGTTTCGTAAAGAGTACGAATGTTCACTGTGCAACGTTGCAAAACTCATTGTAGGGGTATTGAATTAAACAGTAAGATGGTACTCCTATTTATTTAACTGTACGAGGCATTGTACAAGAATATAAAGAGAAAAGTAATTAGTTTAAAAAGAATGAAGACACTCCTTCATTCAACGCTTAAGCTTATTTATTCTCCCACTCTTACCTTTGATTCGCATTTAGATTTCTCCAAAACAAATGAAGTGGTTATTTCAAAATCAGATTAAAATCATAATAATTCCCCTCGTAGAATGAATTGCAGTTTCTCGCAAACAGAAATACATTGGCGAGGCTGGCGAAGATCGTCTGGTATTAATTTACGGAGAACTCTGAAAATAGAGATCTGAGATAAACGAAACTCCGATGGAACATTGAATTTGCGCAACTTATGAAAAAAACTTAGATGACGAATGATGGGTAAAACTGGGCACTTAGTAGACTCGGATTGAATGTCCAAAATATACATAAGAGAAAAATAAGACTAAGTAATGCATTCTCGGTTCAGGTACCTAATTGTATCTGACGAATAAGATTTGTTGGGAAATTGATTGTGAACAATTGTGATGACTAAACAATAATGTAAACAGTCGATATTGACAACTTCATATAGGTTTGAATATTCTTTAGTGGTAAGTAAACAAATAATTTTTATCGAATGCTAAAGTTACTTAAACTTATGCAATCTTGTTAACGTAATAGACAAAACATACTCCCTTAGTTGTGTACTCCTTGTTGGTTAGTCTATGGTAATATGCAGAAGACCAAAATTGCAAGGGTGTCTATTATCTTCGTTCTTCAGCAGTGATATCTTCTGCTGGGGCTGCTCTGCCAAGATTCACGACAAGCATGCAATTTTGATGACCACTCAGACAACTATATGCGTTTTAATTGTCTGAGTGGCCGTGAGGTTGAGTGCTTGCCTTCAAATCTGAAGATTACTAGTTCAATCCCGAGCACAGTCGACTTTTCTCATGGTGCCATTTGTAATCGGGCTATCAATTAATGATACTTTCTAGCAAAAGGACGAGATTCATAATAACAAGATCAGTGTTTGTACTTTGTACCATTCCCTTACAAAACACGTTAAAAATGCCAGTGGTACGGACAAGGAGAAAAACACAGACACTTTTCCAAGGTAGATTTTCACGGTGAGGTTATGGATATCCAAGACTGCATGAGGAGACGGTGTCATCAAGGTGGTGAGGAAATTGTGTCTTATAACTACTCAAGCTATAGAAGTATCTATCTATCCGTAGAATAGTTCCACTGTCAAATTTCCTTACCCTAGTGACACAAACCTTCCCAAGTTCATGAAGATCATCGTGGATGAAGATCATGGAGATAGATGGGTGACTGGCCACTCAACAAGTACAGTTGAACACTACACTTTTCCAAGGTAGATTTTTCACTGAGATGTTGTGTGTGTTCATATTCAAGCACGGGCTGCTCCCCACAGAAATAGGGAACGAGCTGATCTAGTGGTAGAGCAAAGAGCTTCGGTCCATGTGCTCCCAGGTTCAAGTCCCGCTAAACACCAATGTATTTAGCTGTGATAATGCCACGTTCCTCTTGGCCTAGTCTGTAGTAATTTGTAAAATGGTTCCATAATAGAGCATATCCTAGGACTTGGTGGTTTTCTCCGCACCATCCTCACTTGAATAAAA